ACTTGCCCCCTTTTTACAGTAACCTTTATCCAACTCATTAACATAGGAGTAAACACAACTACACAAACAACCCACGACACAACATTTTAACCCAACTACCGCTGTAGTTACTTAGACCAGAAAACTTAATGTTTCTAGGAGTGCTCACCAGCCAGGGTTAGAGAGCCGGCTATTCTCTAAACGAGGCCTTTCCAGGCTTATGCCAGTTAAATTCTTTAACATATTACTGATTATTTGCAATTTTAACTTTCAAAACTAACTGGTATGGACGAGTCTACGATCCAGCCTATTTATTCGGGTGGGTTAGGAAAGGGTGTAGGGAAGTTAGTGGGAAACAGCGCTGTTTGAACCTTCTCGTAGCTCCTCCATTCCAGCCCTACATGTGGAAATATCCATTAATTTCAGGTATTTAATTAAATACCGGTCACACGGGTCAAGAGGTAAAAGATTTTGTTTTTTGTTTTTAAACTAAAGGTTGAGCACTCTTTACAACAAACAATATAGGAGCCTAGTATTCCGCGATAACATTACAATCGCCTAGGTCCTTCGTCATTGAAATACCTAATGACCTAACAAAAATGACCACCACACATAACTGATAACATTATAACATAAGAACAAATCGACAGTCACAACACTTATCAACTACCTAGATCAACCTAAGTAAAGTTGTCCATAGGAGATCTCCTGTTAATAAGTAACACATTAGCGTTAACCAATATTCCGAATCATCACACTAATCTTTCGCGAATTCACGCTCTTGCAGGCGCACTATTTCGTTTTAGTGTCTTGCTTTCCGTATAAAAGTCTTCCCGCCGCGTTTCCCGGTAACTTGAAGTCGAGCTCGTTTGGAACATGGTACCATTTACCTTCAGGGTTCGGTGATCACCTCAGTCTATCCTCAATAGCGCTATTCACTCCAACAGTGACTCGTGGCTGGTTTATAGTTGAAACCTGCCACTGGAACCTCCTGGTCTCCGCCAGACGTTTCCGTTGTTGTCAGCCCCCCTCACATGAGTAGTGGCCCTGTCTGCGTAGGCCATGGTTGCAGCTCGCTACCCTCCAGGCCGTCATGGAGCAGGTCAGCAACTCGTACTCTCCACCCTAACAGAAGACAGACAACAATCGTCACTAATTCCACGCTCGAATTCACCAGAGAACGCTGCTGATAAATCAGGCAGGCATTCTACAACTGTCAGTAACCAAACTACCCATGGTTCTGACTTGAGATCTCACAATTCACATCAACATGACACGTGTCACTTTCTCCAGGGGAAGCTCTCACCACTCTCCCCTACAGCTCAAGTACAACTGGTAGCTGCTAGCAAGTTAGGCTAGGCGAGCGTACGCAGGTACGAGCAAAAAAAAAAACTCTTACTCTCACAGCACTAAATACATTAGGCTCAGGGGACGCTTTCTTTCCACTCCCCTCCACGCTCAAGCACAACTGGTAGCTGCTAGCAAGTTAGGCTAGGCGAGCGTACGCAGGTACGAGCAAAAAAAAACTCTTACACCCGAGTTACAGGGGGACCACCGGCAGAAAGATTTCCCGCCAACATTTAAAAAAAAACACCATCCGTACCAGGACTCTCAGGGTCCCTCACGAGTTAATTGCTGCCAAATGAACAGGCCTAACTCAACAGTACAAGTTATGCAGAGTCCTTAATGGAGCTCAAGCTTACTTTGTGACTTCAACTTAATAAACGGTCCCCCACCAAAAAAAAAAGAACACAACGCTTTCACGACACCTGGACCTAGTCCACAGGGAATTTAGCATGTTGCCGTGCCTGATGTAATACCGCGCGGCAAGCAAAGCAATCCCAAACGTGGTCAAACACCTGAGGCTCAGACCACACCTCCACCTCACTGACCACTCACCATTGAATGATGCCCATATCCAAATGGGGCATGCTTCCAATGCACAAAATTTCCAGGCCAAGAGCCAATCCACTGACCCACGGTCAGCCAAAACTACACCAGAAGTATACTTGACATACTTCCTTTCAAAATAAAATTTTCCTAACTGCTTTATCATTTTGCACATTTTCGAAATAATTTTCCCCCGCAAGTTACATTTTTTTTCATATATTTTTACAACAAGGCTAAAGCGAGCATAATTTAACAACCCCAACTCAGTTCAGGGCCAATTATAGGTACTAATTTGGGTTATTTTACTGACTTATACACTAATCAAACCAGATCCATCACAGTGGGACAGTGTTGAGCCACTACTCCAACAGCAGGTCCGCAGCAAGGAGTCTCCATGTGTCCCGGTCAACAGGGACAGCAAGGCCTGGCTTACACTCCTATATAAAACTGCTCTTTAGGTTGACATTGTCGCAGTCAACCCCACACCTGACACCAGATGTCACAGCGGCCCTCTTTGGTCTTCGTAGCCAGTGGGAGCAGGAAGAACGAATATTAAAACAAGCGAATAGGGATCAGCTAACACTTTATTAATTACCAACAATAAAACTTTACATAATTACATCGATTAAAGTAACACGTTACAAATCAAATCAAACCGCGACCAAATACTACGAATTACACAATATTGAATTTAAAACGTACAAGGACTTGGAAGCAAAGAGTAAGAAAGGGCGCGAGACCGCGCGCGCGGACCTTACCGTCGTCCCCTACATTCCGGCGCGATCTGATTGCTTCAGCATCGTCCGAGCGAGAACCTCAGCGTGGTCACATGACCATCGCCAGCCAATCAGCGCACGCTGAGCGCTCAGCCCATAATTCAACGCGTGGACATTTGCTTGACAGGTGCTGCAGCCAAACGATTACAATGGTCGTTAATGAAACTAATTGAAGCGAGGAACCGAGTCTAGAAGTGTAACATGTTTATCGCGGCACACGTGCATGCAGATTCAGCACATTCCAAGGCATATCCGGCCAAGCCACGACGTCTGGTTAGGATTATTGTAGGGTTACAAAGTAATGAAATGAATTGGAGTATGAGTTTCAAGGTTCACTTGGAGACTTATATGAAGTTAAATAAAATTCAATATTGCTAAATACGGTTGACACATCAACCTAGCAAATATTCGGTGATAGCCAACGGGCCAGGTTTAGGGAGTAAGGCCAACCAGCTTAAGCTCAAAGTTAACAAATTACAACAAAATGAGGCAAATATGCCAGGCCGTCACACCAGCAAACCAATCTGCGGCTAGTTAAAAATTAGACTCAACAGTTGTAATGCGGCTACAGCTGAGTCTTCATGGCTAGCAAACAGTGTTGCATCATCAGCGTACACAAGCACCCTTGTGTCTAGTCTGAAATACAAGTCGTTCAGACAAACAATAAACAGAAAAGGTCCTAATATAATATGAATACGGAACCCTGAGGCACATCTTGCTTAGGGAATGGGGCCGATTTTGCTCCATTAAGATTAACAATCTGTTGTCTGTCACAGCGATATGAGTTAACCACTTTGAGGGCAGAATCAGCAAGACCATACTTTTTCAATTTTTTGGAAAGTATTTCATAAGGCACTCAATCGAAAGCACGGGAGGGAAAGATCACAGAGGCGAACAGCTGTACTCTCTTTGTATTCAAAAGCAACAAGAATATGCTGGACAAGGGAATCCACTGCAGAAACAGTGGATCTTCCCTTCCTAAAACCAAACTGAGCCGGTACAAGCAGATTTATGCTCCTCAAAGTGGTACAGTAAAGTACAGTAAATAGAGGTCCCCATTATTCTTATTATGTATTCTCGCTTTATTCCGGAGCACGAGCAGGACAATAGTTATACTACTAATTAATTAGTTTACAACTTTTTTTAACCAAGCAAAACATAAAAAATGATAAAAACATTACAAACTTCCCTTTCAAAACATAAAAAATTCCGCTGGCATAGAAACCCACAAAAAAACAATACCTGTCCAAATAGTATTGTAACTTATGAGTAAAGCAGCCATCATAAAATCTATACTATAAAACAAGAGAACAAATAGTTAGTCTCAAATGCATATAAAAAAGGGGTTTATAAAAAAGCGTTATAGACGACATTGTCTTAGAATGGAAAAGCCAGATATTTAATCCATGCCACTTATTTTACAATACGATAGGAAATCTACTTGTACAATTTAAAGCCAATAACATAAACTGTAGACATCAATCCTTCATTTGCTCAGGTTTTAGTTTGCCGTTCTTGTTGTCAAGTTCTTTCTATTAAGTAGTAATCTTAGGTCCCATTGCATAACACAACGTTTTGCCGTGGCTTGACCCTTAGTTATATTAGCATTGAATAAGTATTGTAAAAAAATAAATAATTGTAAATTGGTTTTGTTTGGACCGTTGGTAGCAAAATAAAATAAATAATATAATATAATATAAAATAAAATAAAAAAGTAATTTCTCGAACATTTTACAGTAATATTGTAATAAATCTTTATCATTCTGTTCTATTTCTTATTTAATTAAAAATTAAAAGATCAAAAGAAACTAAACTGTTTTTAATGAAGACACTAATACAAGACAATATTATTCAAGAAAAGTAAATAAAATCATATGGTTAAATATTAATTCAATAACCATAGAGGTTAAACATCTTTCCCTTTGAGTTTCTTTTCAGAGTTTAGTCAGGAAAACGTTTCGTAGGTCTTATAATTCTGCCTCTTGATGATTGTTTTATTGCAGCTTCTTGATTGGGAGTAGTTGATCGTGAAAAAGGTTTCTGCGCCATGTTCTATTTCTTATTTAATTAAAAATTAAAAGATCAAAAGAAACTAAACTGTTTTTAATGAAGACACTAATACAAGACAATATTATTCAAGAAAAGTAAATAAAATCATATGGTTAAATATTAATTCAATAACCATAGAGGTTAAACACATTCTTATGAAGACAAAATTTTTGTAATTCATTGCTTATAGTACGTTAAAACTAATTCCTCTCTGGGCGATCTAGAACTTTCCATAATAAAGAAATAATCGACCAAGCTTTTTCTTCCGTTAGTTTCTCTGACGAGTTGATCAAGTTGCCGATTGTGTGAGCTAGTGTGCTAGAAATTTCTCGTCATCAGCCGGTTGTCTGCTGAGTGTGGTCAGTGTTCGAGTCGCTTAATTCACTAGAAAAACTCACATTTTCAACACTTTTTGTTGTTTAATTAGTTCTTTATCGTTAATAGTTAAAGAAAATGGCTGCAATGTCAGTTATAGGCATTGATTTTGGCAACGAATCGTGTTATGTCGCGGTTGCAAGAGCAGGCGGCATTGAGACCATCGCAAACGATTATAGTCTGCGAGCAACACCGTAAGTGACTATATTGAATTAATTGAATTATTAATCGATCTCCCATTGTGAGGGTCTAAAGCTATTAGGTTAATAGTTTATCACAGTATTTTTTCGTTTAAGTTACAATATCTTACTGCCAATAACTTATTATCTTTTTGCAATTCTTACAAATTGTGGAGGCGTCCAACCACGTTAGAGCAAATGATTTGATGTAAGCCTACTTCTGGCTTAAAAATCAATAAAAAAATTGCCTAATTTAGTATAGCCTACCATAAACTCGGTTGAATTTTAATTACAATAATACCTAGCTGAAATGTATTCCTTAGTGTGGTTCCATGGTATTGTGATCTTAGGTTCTACCACAGACAATGTGTGGTTCCACCTACTCTTAGCATTTGTGAAAGCTTGGATAGGCATGTATAGGCTAACTTAGCTTAGGGTGATATTCCCACCCATGTCTTTATAATATGTAGTAGGCCCCCTATAGGCCTAATACTTTCTCATAAAAAGTTAAATAAGTTAAGCCTTGCATGCTGTTTACCTTTGAAGGCTAAGTTAATCCTCCCTAGTTTTTTGGAAATGGAAATAAAGTGAATAGGGGTAGTGCAAGGATGCGGTAGTGAAAATTATCAAAATAACTATTAAAATTTCCAGTAGATCTAGGCTAGGGCTAGGCTCCTTACCGTACATCATTAAGTTAGACCTCTTAAGTTGTACCTTCTGAAGTACCCTTAACTTAGGCCTAAGTTAAGTTAATTCCAATTTACCCTAAGACTAAACCCCTGCCTATAGGCCTTAGGATACAGTTCTGCAGAAAACCTACGATATTCTATCAGATGACATTTTTTCAATACGGTATAGACAATTTACCTAAGTAACTTAGCCTATCAATTAGACCTAAGGTAAACTTTATTTAATTGAATTCTAAATAGGCTAAATATTGATTTAAGTTACTGTTATTGTTATGGGTTTACTCAGAGGGCTGCCTGCCATACTTTTACAATGCGCTGCAGTGTAGGCCTAGTAGGCCTATTTTATTTATTTTTTTTCTTGTGTTTATTTGTGTTCTTGTGTCTTGTGCCAGTGGCATTTTTTTTAATGATGTCAAAACACTTTTAAGGGAAAGCGGTCCAAACCCATTAAAGTTTTGTGGATGTGCCGGGGATTGAACCCGTCCCTCCCGCACCGATGTCCGAGACGCTAACCACTAGGCTATTTGGCTAAAATTTTGGTGTGGACGAGTCCCTATGTGGACTTGGATGTTGGACTGTGGAGAGCAAACAGATGTTTAAATTCGACTCCATGCGCAATGGAATCGATTTATTCAGAATAATTCGTTCTGAAACAATCGTTTGCAGACTAATTAGGATTTTGATTTAGACATGTGGGGAAGGTAGGTCGGGTTTTATGCAGATTTGTGACTGTATTATGCCTTTGTGTTTTGAAATTAGGTTAGATTGGGAAGTGAAAGTTTGGGTTAATGAACCGACTTATTAACTTATGTTATCCCCAGACTGTTCTTGGACAATAGCAATAGTAAAATCATAACCACATGAGTATCAACAAAACTAACAGTGAAATTGTTAGGCCCCTATCCCTATTCCAAGTTAAAAATAAAGTTCACACCTCTTCTATGATTCTTTATTTTTTGTTAGTTTCCATAAGCATAGGACTTACCATTAACCTAACCTTAGGCCTATAACCAGTAATAGCTCAGAGAGGTTCTCAACGTCTTGTTTGTTTTTCAGAGCATGTGTAGCTTTCAGCGGACGCAACCGAGTCCTTGGTGTGGCAGCCAAAAATCAAATGGTTACCAACATGAAAAACACCATTCATGGTTTTAAAAGGCTCCTTGGAAGAAAATTTAATGACCCGTTTGTGCGACAAGAACTACAATATTTACCCTACAACGTCATCGCCAATCCTGATGGATCCATTGGTATCAAGGTTAGCCAGAATTTATAAAAGTTTTTTTACAATTTAAGGAAAGAAGGATCTGATAAATTTAGTTCGGCAGATGGAATCCAATTTACTAAAGAAGACCTGTTTTCCATCTCAAGGCAGGCAACCAATCCTAAACAACTTGTTTTCATTTGGTTTGTTATGATAAACTATTTTAAGTGGCATCAGTGTATTTCTACTTTCTCCCACTAGCTTGTCAACAACCCTTATCATGGCACATAGGTAATCAGTGAGAGTAACTTTGTGGAAAAATCACAAAAGTTGTTTAATCACTTTTAAACCGGAATAATTTACACACATAGAGGTTGTACCAACCTGTTTAAAAGGAAGTTAAAAGGACTATCTTATAACTTATACAAATTGGTCAAGTAGGCTAGTTTTTTTTATCTGATTTTTCTATGAGTTAATAGATTTTAATGGGGAAAATTACAAAAGTTGCATCAACTTTTTTATGCAAAAACTAGTATGACATACTAATATACTAATGTTCCCTTGCCAATTTTATGAAAATTGGATTTTTTGTTATTATGGAGATACCATGGATTAGTAGACCCACATACCAAATTTCATCAAAATCAGACCATAGGTGTGGTCTGTAGCTCTGTACACATCCATACAAACAAACACGGACATCACCTTAAAAAACCACTTTTTTGGGTTCAGGGGACCCAAAACTCAAACTCAAAGATTTTGACGAAAACAATACGCCTACTTTCTCCTTATACGATGGTATAGGGAGTTAAGTAAAAATAGTCTTTTACCTTTCCCCCTTATTGATAAAAAAAAATACAAAATCCTTTCGTTAGTAAAGATGTGGTCTTCTCTGATCCAGCTGTCTTGACTGATTTTCAGAAATAAGTCTTGCATTAAAAATACACTTAAGTTAGGCTAAATCAAGAAATGCATCGGACAAGCTTTTTATAAGGCTTATGTAGCTTAGTGTTATAATGCCCTTTGTCATTGTGTTTGTATTGAATAAATAAATTGAATTGAAAAAAATTATAAAAATAATAATAGTAACAAAGGTTGTGCTGTAGCAAATAATGCTTAGTATTCTCATGAATCTGTTTTCTATCTATTGTCATGCATGTTGCAGGTGCATTATTTGGATGAAGACCATGTATTTTCTCCAGAGCAAATAACGGCCATGTTACTGACCAAACTGAAAGACACGTCTGAAATAGCTTTGAAAACCAAGGTCAACGACTGTGTGATATCGGTAAGTCTTATGTGTTTGTCTTATGCAGTGTTTTGATGTATGTTTTGATTTTTCTCTCATCACTTTTGTGAGTTCAGTTTTAATTTACTACATTTTTTGGATTGACAATTATTCAGCTTCATCAAATTCTACTCTGTTATATGTGGGTAGTTTTTACTTGAGTTTTTTGTAAGACCGAGTATTAATTTCATAAAAAGTAATCAAGATTTAACCTCTGTAAAATGTTGCTGTTTTGATTTATGCTACTCATTTACTTGCAGGTTCCATCTTATTTCACAAATGCTGAACGGAAAGCATTACTGGATGCAGCTGCTATTGCCGGTCTCAATGTGTTACGCTTGTTCAACGAGTCGACTGCCACCGCTCTCGCCTATGGAATCTACAAGCAGGACCTTCCCGCACCCGAAGAGAAGCCTAGGAATGTCGTGTTCGTAGATTGCGGCCACGCATCTCTACAAGTGTCAGCATGTGCCTTTCATAAAGGCAAATTGAAGGTAAATTATCCTGTATTGATATTCTGTAGGTTCCTAAAAAAGTTTATTTCAATATTATAACATTTACTTTGATATAATGGCTAATAGCTCTGCAAATTTATTTGATTAAAATTAAATGGCTGTAAATTTAAATGTCAGTCCTCATTGAAAACTGTTTGTAGGACTTTAAAGCCACCATATGCTTCTAGTCGTACCTTACTTTTTCTTAGTTTATATGATAAGCCAGAGTTCTTAATGATATCATAAGGTATTACATTTACCTCAGCACCCGTATCAAGTTTGAAATTGACACGTAAGGTATTGTCTATCAGTAAGTTTTTGAACCATACCTTTTGTTTGATGGCGTTTACCAAGTGTACAGAGTCAATCAATTCAGCCTTGTTTTCTTCAGCCTCTTGTTGTTTTTCATCAATATTATACAAAGGTTGAGGTTTGTCTTTGTTCTGCCTTGTTGCTGGAGCACGTTTCTTCAAACAGACGTTGCTGAAATGGTTTGGCTTCTTGCACCAATTACAAAATTTGCCTAATGCAGGACAGGTCTGGTTATAGTCGTGATTCCTTCCACATTTCCTACATTGGTGTTCGGAAATGTTATATGATTTTGGCTTTATCTGGTCAGTACTGGAAAAAGGAACCCGGTCGTTTTCTTTGTTTATAATCTTCAGATTATTTTCAGCAAGCTCAATACTCTTGCAATATTCAATAATTTTGTCTACTGATGCATCATCCCTTAACAAACGTTCCTGGGTTTCTCTGGAAAAAATTCCAAGTGCTATCTGTGCTTTCATTAGTTTAGACTCTTGATCTTTGAAATCACAAATCTTCACACGATGCCTTAAGTTAGCTAGAAACTTGTCAAATGATTCTCCTTCAGATTGTCTGCATGTGATAAACTTGAAAACATCCATAATTTCATTCTTTTTTGGCAAACAATAATTTCCCAGAACATCCATGATGGATTCTATACTTTCATCAGTGACATTTGTAACTAAAGAATTGTATAGTTGTAAAGCTTCTTTACCCATTAAATTCTTCAATCGTGCCACTTTTACAGGATTGGGTTTCTTCATTGTCTCTGTGGCTATAAAGTAGTTTTCAACGTCTTCCTTGAACTGCTTGAAATTTTCTGGCATATTGCCTATTAATGATAACTTATCTGGATTATTGAATTCCATTTTTGAGCAGTCACAAACAAAATATATATACACTCAAATGCACGACTGCGCCATGTTTAGTTTTTATTAATTAGTTTTAAATAAAGGAGACATTTTTAGCAACAGTAAAAGTTTCTATTTTCAAAAATATAACAACAACTTATTTGTAAACAGATGTAAGATAAACATGAAGAATCATATGTTATTTTAAAAGCATAGAATATTAAATATCTAAACAGTTGGATTCATGTGTGTAGAATTGACCTAGCTAAGTTAAGTCCTCCTTACAAAAAAAGTTATGATGAAACATGAAACTTGTCGATCACTATTGTATTTTTTATCATCATATTGTTGTGTCGTAGATGCTTGCGTGCACATCAGATCCTCAGCTGGGAGGCAGGGACTTTGACCTGGTTATGTGTAAACACTTCAGCAAGGACTTCCAGTCCAAGTACAAGATCAACGCGGAGGGCAACCCTCGGGCCTTCCTGCGACTGGCTACTGAGGTGGAGAAGCTGAAGAAGCAGATGTCTGCAAACTCTACTCGCTTGCCCCTCAACATTGAGTGCTTTATGGACGACAAAGACGTTCGTGGAGACATGAACAGGTATTCATGACCGAATTAATGTTGACCATCTAAAAAATTAACATAGGCCCTACTGATGAGTGTTGTCAATTTCATCATATAAAATCAAGAAAACCTTTATTTTTTTAGCTGAAGACTTAGATAGGTTTATTGAAACATTTTTGAACCACAGAAATTGAGTGTAGAAGGTTGTAGTTCGTTGGTTCTAGTCAATGAATACAAAACTTATAAGAAGCGCAATGCCTTTGTTAAAAATTCAGTCTCGTCTGGGAATATTTTAATTTCGGATAGTTCCCGTGGCGGCCGCTAGGTAGACTATCGCGAGCGCACAGCCAAGTCAGCTGACTGAGTGAGAGAGAGTGAGACAAAGAATCAGCTTAGAGAGAGAAAGAGAAAGAGTAGCACGGCCGCACAAAGCTCATTTCGGGGGCAAAATTCCAGTCTGACTATTCTCCATAAGCATTTCTCTTCTTGAAGGGTTTGTATTCATTGTTAGTCAACAGACATTTGTAATATTGATCATATCATCTTGGCATACCATCAGTTCTGCCTCATTTCAGCTTAAGTTGGGTTAGGTTTCCTTAGGTTTGAATCCTTCCATGATATCACCTCCTGACTTTTCAACTCACAAACATTCATTACATGTTTTCAAAGCATGCATACTTCTTTTCATGCCTTTATGAGTTCTTTGTTTTACTTTATGAACAACCTGAAGCAGAATTTATTTTTATATATAGTCCACCAAAGATTACTCAGATAGCTATTATGGTTGTTCTCAGGACAGAGATGGAGGGGTTGTGCGCTCATCTTCTACAGAGGGTGGAGAAGACACTTCAAAAGTGTCTGGAGGATTCAAGTAAGTAACACTTCCTTCCGTTATTATCTGTTGTGTATGTTTATTGTTAACTTTAAACTAACATGAGTAGGAAAGCAGATCCTTTAAACTAAAATCCAGATGATTCAATTTACGATTTGCATCAACTCTTTAATAATTGCAATTTACCTCAAACTCTGAAATTAGCAAATAAAGAATTTTGTATGGTTTTAGGGTATCTAAAAGATAAATTCCTATATTAAATTTTTTTATAGGTACCTAGAGGCCTAATCATAAAATACATTTTAAATAGGAACTTAACCTCCAAAGATCTCATCATAGTTTTCTACAAAACAGTTTTCTTAAACACTAAACAGTAATGGTTAATTTATTGAGTGCACTAACTAGTTCTGTATAGTGTGAAATAATAAGGCCTTAACAACAATCAAGCAAATTTGAATGAATAACTCATTATAAAAAGATCAACCAGAAAAATAGTTGTGTTTAAAAAATAATTGTGGCCTATAGAAACAACTTGCTTGCAAGTTGTGAGTAGACTTCATACTCACACTGTAATGATTTGGTGTAATTTAACTCAGAGCTGCGCCAAGATGAAATCTACGCAGTGGAGATAATCGGAGGCTCAAGTCGCATTCCAGCCATCAAGAGTCTGATAGAGAAGATCTTTGGCAAACATCCGAGCACGACGCTGAACCAGGACGAGGCAGTGGCTCGTGGCTGTGCTCTGCAGTGTGCTATGCTGTCTCCGGCTGTACGTGTGCGTGAGTTCAGCGTCACAGATCTGCAGAACTTCCCCATCAAGCTGGTATGGGACGCCAACATGGGCGAGGACGGGTAAGTAAACTTGGGTAAACAATATTGTTTTCATATGCTTGCCTGATAATTAAAGAGTCGTACAGTTGATTCTGAAAAAAATCTGTAGCTTCTTGATTAGTTAAAAGCAGACCCAACTGTCCCTGACCGTTTAAATTATTACATAGTCATGACTGAAGAAACAGCTAAGTTAGTCATATTATAGCTACACAGGACATCACATCCATCGATCTATCCCATTCACAAGTTTCAATTATATTTGAGTTGAAATGCACCTAGCTGTTTCCCCATCTGAAATGTTAACTATAGGTCTCCTTGATCTTTCAATTAATTATAAGAAGGAAGATTATCTCTTGGATTAAATGATTTATTCTTTAATTCCATGTTGTTACACTACTAATAAGATGCGTTTGCTTTCAGTGAAATGGAGGTGTTCCCACAGTTACATCCTGTTCCATTCAGTAAGATGCTGACGTTTTATAGAAAAGAACCTTTCACTATCAAGGCATACTATAGTGGTCCAACCCCATACCCTGACAACTATATAGGTATGTGTGCATTTATTTTGTCTATCTACTTATACTAATCAAATGGATGATTACATTTCCAAGCTCCTTTTCAAATTCAAAACACCAGTTTTAGTAATAATATGGTTTTGAGCCTTTTCGCAATTATAAAACATATGTTTATGTATCTGTTATTATTGCAGGACAATTTATTGTGAAGGACGTGAAGCCAACTCCTGAAGGAGAAAGTGCGAAAGTCAAGGTTAAAGTTAGAATCAACTTACACGGAATTTTGACGATCAGCAGTGCGTCCTTAGTCGAGAAACACCCGGCCTCTGAACAGGATGTGAACGAAGAACAAAACCAACCGGAACCGATGGAAGCCTCACCAGGCGGTCAACAAAATGAAGCGGTCAATGGAATGGAAAATGAACCCATTTCTGCGGAGGTAAAATCGGGTTCAAATAAACGCAAAGCTTCTGTCAATGAAAGCATTCTGAATAATCCGCACAAGTTGTTGAAATGGTTTTACGAGGATTGGGTATGTGCAGTCAACTGATATATGATCAGGTGCATGTTTCTGGGATGAATCTTTCCAAAGTTGAAAGTTTCATTGGCTGAGCGAGTAAGAAAGATAGTGTTCTGTCTTCAGATTGTCTCCAATTGTGTTGCGTAAGGTTTCTCAAGACGTTATGACAACTCCTTGAAAGAGGCTTTTGAAATAATCCATTGGAACTTGTTGTTATCATCAAACACTTTTGTAGGGGTTTTGATCAATTAATTCATTGTCTTTGTTGGTGCAGGATTCTTGATTCTTAGACCTAAATAGTTGTCTAGAACTATAGATGGAACAGCAGGCCATTCCATCATTCACTGCACAATTTATGTTTTGTGAAAACTGATTAACAAACTCATTAGCTCAGGTGGATGATATGAGTTCTCAGGACTTATTTCACTTGGTTAATTCCACAAATTATCAATGGTTATTTTATAATATCAGTTTGGATGGCTAAAAGTATTATTTATACAAAATAAACAGAAAATATTATGGCTGTATAGTTAGAGAAATTATCTGTGCATTGTAGATCCCTCTTCACTTAAAGTTCAAATTACCTAACTTTGTGTAAGGCTTATTTTTTTTGTAAGTGGAAAACAATTTATTCTTAAAGCTTTACTCTGATTTTGTGATATTTTAAACAACAGCGAGTTTCAATGACACCACTAAAGTGCAAGGTACTTTCCTGTTATCTGGTACCTGCGAAAAAATTCTTTAACCACAAGTACAACTTCATCAATCCAGAGTCCGGAGCACATACTACCGTTTAGGTTAGGTTAGGTTCGTTTACTTACAATACGTATGTTATTGATAAACTAACCTAACCTAACCTAACCAAATTACTCATTGTTTGTTGTTTTTGTTTGATTAATAAACGCAGGTACCAGATAACAGGAAAGTACCAAGTGCGATTCAAATAACATAACAATCAGCCTCTTTTTAAATGACAAGTTTTTTAGAGATATTACTTGTTCAGCCGATGCATTTGAGATTGAGGGAAGACTTTACACTGAAGATTTACCTCTCAAAGAGAATTTCAATATGAGAATTCGACCTTGACTTTGGTCTTGACACTTTATTATAATTACTTAAAACGGTTTTAAATTAAAATATGATTTTTTACAGTAATGCAATGTAAAATGAAATGTTGGAGGGTCATTCCATTTCAAATCATCCAATAAAAAAATAAAATGTCACCCATGACCTCAGATTTGGCTGAAATTTTTTTTATTTGTTCATTTGACCATTTTAATAAGATACACCAAGTTTTAAAAAATTATCTTAAATAGTTTTTGAGTTATGAATTTTTGAAATTTTGCTAAATACACTTATAACGGCGCTTCCGAGGCAAAAAGGTTCGGTGACGTTCTTATATACAAAAATCCATAACTTCTACAATATTTAACATAAAGCAATAGTTTTTTCACCAAAATGTTCAGAAAAATCAGATGATTATAGAAAAAATACATTTGGCTAGTTATTTCTTCACATTTATATGTAATGCATTGCTAAATTTAAATTTTGAGTTATTTTTTAATTTACAAACAAAAAATCTTTAAAAGCGATTATTGACCAAAGGCATAGCAGTAACCAAAGCAATTTTTTTTTTAAATTAACCCTAAAGATATAAACTAAAGTAATCTGGAATAAAATTAATGGTTTTTTACCAGCTAATATTTTTTTTATTCATATAAGTTACAATATGGGTTATGGCGAAGAAATCCTATGAAATCGATAACTTGACTTTGCTATCCAAGTTTAAAACCTATAATATTCATCCAATTTCAAACAAACATATTTTAATTAAATTACAATGACTTGTCAATAGTCAATACTTAAAATGTATGCACTAACCCTTAGATATTAAATGTGAAAACATGTGTTTTTAACTGTTACCGGTACCGTATACTAGGCTGTACATAAAATTAAAGCTGCTGTAAATGATGGGCTATACCAATTGTACTTACAAAGAAATGTATTTATTATTTATACAAGGGCTTATTTGATTAGAACATTTTTGTGATAATCATAAAGGTCTTTAACAGTAGAGGAGTTACCTTAGTTTTGGATATGGGTGCGTGTGAGCCTCAACATTTTCTTACAATGCAAGTCAGCAGCTTGAACTTCCTTTTCAGGAAAATAATACATCCTCCTTGAGCCTTTAGTTGTAGGTGGATTGACACTTGAAATTATGTTGCATAGGCCAGTAAAATGATTTTGCTGGTCCGTGGGGATGTAGAAATTTAACTTTAATATACTCAATGTCTTTTTTTTTCTCATGACTAATCCGAAACACCAATTGTCATCATAAATGCACAATGTAGTCAACCAAGCTATTGTCCTGTTAGATTTCAGCAAAAACAATTCCTATGTAATCTTACTAATATAAATGTGAAAGTTTGTGTCTTTGTTTGTTTGTTTGTGTGTTTGAAGTTCAATCACGCATAAACCACTGGACGGATTGGGCTGAAATTTGGCATGATGATAGCTTACATTCCCGATTAACATATAGGCATATTCTTACCTCAAAAATCCTTTCGGGCTCCGCTCCAGTTTGGTTGAGCGAAGAATATGCCTATATGTTAATCGGGAATGTAAGCTATCATCATGCCAAATTTCAGCCCAATCCGTCCAGTGGTTTATGCGTGATTGAACTTCAAACACACAAACAAACAAACAAAGACACAAACTTTCACATTTATATTAGTAAGATTACATAGGAATTGTTTTTGCTGAAATCTAACAGGACAATAGCTTGGTTGACTACATTTTGCATTTATGATGACAATTGGTGTTTCGGATTAGTCATGAGAAAAAAAAGACATTGAGTGTGATATTAAAGTTAAATTTCTACATACGGACCAGCAAAATTGTTTTACTGGCCTATGCAACATAATTTCAAGTGTCAATCCACCTACAACTAAAGGCTCAGGGAGGATGTATTATTTTCCTGAAAAGGAAGTTCAAGCTGCTGACTTGCATTGTAAGAAAATGTTGAGGCTCACACGCACCCATATCCAAAACTAAGGTAACTCCTCTACTGTTAAAGACCTTTATGATTATCACAAAAATGTTCTAATCAAATAAGCCCTTGTATAAATAATAAATACATTTCTTTGTAAGTACATAATTGGTATAGCCTATCATTTACTGCAGCTTTAATTTTATGTACAGCCTAGTATACGGTACCGGTTACAGTTAAAACACATGTTTTCACATTTAATATCTAAGGGTTAGTGCATACATTTTAAGTATTGACTATTGACAAGTCATTGTAATTTAATTAAAATATGTTTGTTTGAAATTGGATGGATATTATAGGTTTTAAACTTGGATAGCAAAGTCAAGTTATCGATTTCATAGGATTTCTTCGCCATAACCCATATTATAACTTATATGAATAAAAAAAATATTAGCTGGTAAAAAACCATTAATTTTATTCCAGATTACTTTAGTTTATATCTTTAGGGTTAATTTAAAAAAAAATTGCTTTGGTTACTGCTATGCCTTTGGTCAATAATCGCTTTTAAAGATTTTTTGTTTGTAAATTAAAAAATAACTCAAAATTTAAATTTAGCAATGCATTACATATAAATGTGAAGAAATAACCAACCAAATGTATTTTTTCTATAATCCTCTGATTTCTCTGAACATTTTGGTGAAAAAACTATTGCTTTATGTTAAATATTGTAGAAGTTATGGATTTTTTTATATAAGAACGTCACCGAACCTTTTCGCCTCGGAAGCGCTGTTATAAGCGTATTTTGCAAAATTTCAAAAATTCATAACTCAAAAACTATTTAAGATAATTTTTTAAAACTTGGTGTATCTTATTAAAATGGTCAAATGAACAAATAAAAAAAAATTCAGCCAAATCTGAGATCATGGGTGACATGACCTGGATGAATGGGCATGGAATGACCCTGGATTGATACTACTTCTTATGTGTAATTGTGTCATACTTAATTTATTTAAAAATATGTTAATGATGGAAACATATGTAAAACCCATTCCAAAATATCTAAACAAAATAATAGACATTTCTATTTTTTCTCTCTGATTTGTCAAACAAGTCCAAGAAATTGTCCTTGCTGTGTTCCTCTTCCTCAAAGATGGCTCATCTTGATGGCTGATGTCTTCATATTTCACCTCTTGCCTTGCAGTTGATCCAGATTCCCTAGTTTTGTGACAAATTTCCTCTTCGGTTTTCCTTGGGGATTAGTTGATTGGTCGGACAAGTAGCATTTAGGTTCTAATGAACTATTGGTTAAGATTTCAGCCATTGCCCTCACTGCTCTATGATCAGTTTTATCAGTTGCTGCATTTACTTGCAGCTGCTTAGCTCAGCAAAATAACAATCTTTGCTTGCATTCTTGCGGTAGTGGGAAAAGATAAAAATATTGCGTTCACTAAACAGGTGCATGCTGTAGAGGTAAAAGCCATAAAACATGCAAAGTTTCTATGGGTCAGGTTTAAACTAACTTATCAAGATAAATTTTTGACTAACAGTAGTTGTAGTCTTCTCAAAATGTTTGTATAATCATATAGCCTACAGTATGCTAATTTTATAACATATTTATTTATAAAAATAATTAGTTCCTAAATATCTGCAATTGTATGGGATTTGGTTATACATTTTGAATTTGTTCACGTTTTAACAGAAATAAGCCTATCTACAAAAAACAATGTATGTATATTTAATATAAAATAATTATCTAACCTTGACGTATGAGTCTTGAGGTTAGATTTTCTTTAGAATTTAGATAACTTTTAGAGGTATTTAAAAAAAAAAAAACAGATAGAAAGTATGGGCCTAGCTAAAATATAATCTGGATATAAATTGCAAAATTCTGAATTATATCTGCAGCAGCAATCTATATATATAAAGCTCAAAACCACTGACTCATTCATTCATTCATTCACTCACTCATCACGAAACCTCAGAAACCATAAGACCTAGGAACCTGAAACTTGGCAGACATCTTCCTATTGGGTAGTAGACGCTCACTAAGAAAGGATTTTACCCTCCAACCTCTGGGCTCCGCCCCGGTGGCTCTGGAGTTTCCCATGTTAACCTTATGAGTACTCTTTTTTAAATGGAATTAATGAATCTTAACAGCTGTTTCAATTAAACAAGTTGGTTCTGTTCTATGATGTTCAATAGCATTAAAGTTACAAGGATTACCAACAGGGTGCAGCACTATTATTTCTTTTACATTTATGACAAGCTAATTTGCAACCAAAAGGTGAGTGAGCGTAGCGAACGAACTTCAATCAGGACGTGATTGAGCCATGCGAACGAGATCATCTTGAAAATTAAGAAGTTAAACGGGACAAAGCCCGCGGGTTACAGCTAGTATAAAATATAATCAAAATAAAAAGCACATTACTTGTACTTTTTACTCTTAAGTACGGTATGCATTGAGCCAATTTGTCCTCAATCCCTTTGAGATGTAATCGTTCGTAAGTATAGGACAATCACATGTAGGCCAATATTTCATTGTATTTTACTGTATATTTTATTAATATACAGTATCTTATAAAATACCCAAAAATTAAGCTTTCTGCTTTACAATTGAATTTTTAGTTTGGGTGTTTAAACATAATGACAGTTCAGCCATATTACATTACTACTACATTACTTCGTCTTATGCCTCTACATTATTTTTTTAATTGATCTGACCTCTTAAGGGTTAACAGTTTTATTTGTGTCTAGTCTTCCCTCAAGTTAACTCTTTATTGTATATACTATGTAGTTTAAAATCTTGGTTTTGGTGTTGTAATTCAGGGTGGTGTTATAATTTGGGGGTTTTATAAGGGTATTTTTGTATTTGTTCTTATTTTTTACTTGGCCTGAACAAGCATTAAAAACTATTACTAATTATTTAAAGCTTTTGTGGTATCTACTTGGTGTTTGGGGCTCAATTGTAAAGATTGAGTTAGTAGTGGAATTGGTTATGGTTTTTAATAGAGCTGATGCATTTCAGGACGAAGCTGAAAAGAAAGAAGCGAAAAAGAAAAAACAAATAATCAAGACAATAAACTTACCTGTTGAAGCCATAACACACGGATACTCCCAGATGGATCTAAACAACTACATTGAACAAGAAGTAAGTGTAGAGCTATATTGAACAACCGGTACATTGCAGCAACAACTAAGTTAAAAAAGAAGATGAAAGCTGATGATTACCTGTAGTCACGTTGACTAAATTAATTACTGGTTTTTAGAAGACATGTAAATGATTCAAAATGCCCATCCAATTTTCTTCCATTATAACGAAGTTTTACTTGCAATCAACACTTTCAACTTTGATTTCTATTTTGACATAAAATTGTTTGAAACAACTTTTAAATACATATTTGTATAGAGTAGAGGATCAAAAATTCGAACCCTAGGTAGTTCAGATTACTGATTTTCTAAGTTTTTCAAACATAATCCAGAAATGCCTAATAGACACATAATTAGGCCTACAGTATGAAAAATACAGTTATAGGATACAGTAAATGAAATAAATACAATGGTTTTTGTACTTAGGTATATTCAGTACATTACTGTAGTTCGTTTCTTGATCAAATATGTAGAGTTCTTAAATTGGAAACAAACAAAGTACTAACCAGAAACCGAACACAAAATGAATCATTCGAAATCGAACTGTACAAAATCACTAACAATTCTATTTTACGACCTTGATTACATTCTGGCTGTGTTACATCACTGTCTCTAATGCCGTAAAAGCTTCAGAATGCTAAGGGACTGAGTCGTTGCCTGCACCGTCTGCTGGATCTACTTCATTGCCATTTTCTCCGTGCTAATTCAATATTTTAAAATTCCTCAGGAGCAGTTCGGATTTTTGACGCTCTACTGAGACTGTTTAGAATAGAGCTGTGTTTGTTTCTTTGGAAGGTATAGGTTCATTAAGTGGTAATGGACTGAAGCCTTTACATAATAATCTGAAAAGTTAGATTTTGTTTAATTAAGATCAGCACGGTACAGTGGATGAGTCTTCACTTTTATATACACAAATTCATGGTCACTGACTACTTTGTCAATCACAAAGAAAGGAAAGTTGAAAATAATTAATGGTCAGTGAATTACCTGTGTCACCTGTTTCAGTGAACTACGTTTACTCTCGGGGTAACACAGCACAATCACCACTGCTCTTTTGTGATTTGTCAGACTGAAATATACTGAAATATTTTACAGGTTAAGTGTAAGAAAGGGCCATGTGGCCCTAACTTTGCCTGTATAAATAAATGATTTTTCATTTCATTTCATTTCATTTCAAATATATGAATGCCAATTGTGTTCGCTGATTTGGTGGCTCACCGCAGGGCCATTGGCAAACACCTTTTTATAGGTTTTCAGCATTCAACGTGTTAAAAAATGGTCATGGCTAAAGAATCAAATAACAACCAAAGAAATTTCTACTCATTCTACTTTTGTGTACGTTTTATCCTGATTAGGCCCTACTCAATGATTTCCTAATTACCTATTTAACCCTTTGTGTGTATCTAACATCACTGGTTGTCCGCAGTGTAAAATGATCGCCAATGACAGACAAGAGAAGGAGCGTGTGGACGCACGTAACGCGCTGGAGGAGTACGTGTATGAGCTGCGCGGCAAACTGTCGTCGGAGGATGAGCTGGCTACGTTTGTGCCAGAGGCGGACAGGCAGGCGCTCACCAATCAGCTGGACCAGATGGAGAACTGGCTGTACGAGGAGGGCGAGGACTGCAACAGACAGGTGTATGCGGAGAAACTGGCACAGCTCAAGGTGAGAGTAAAGAATAACAGTTAACAGTTACCATTTCATACCATGACTTATACTCCGTTCACAAAATGTAGGCGGTTTCACCCCCTCCACCTCACTATAACTTCAAAACAACAGCGACAGCTGACACATATTCATCAAACTAAATAAAACTGTTAATTTTCTCAATTCAAATTCGCCTTTTCTGTATTTGTGTATGTATTTTTAGATGATCTTAATTCTCCTAGAAGTTATTTAATTGATCTATCCCAACCTTGTGAGTTATCGTTGTGTATGTTAAATTACTTGTATTTTTTTTTTTTATAAAAGAGGTTGGCGGCCTCTTTAGGCTATTTAGGAATTAGGCTGATTCTGATTTTTTTTAAGATTTCCCATCCTTACCTGAAAGAGAATAGAAAAACCATAGGAAGGCATAGGAAAGGGTAATTCTTCCCTAATAAAGAAAAGTTTGTTTTTTGTTACTGTTTTCATTAAGTTGGACCATAATATGTGTGTAGGGTTTCAAATTTTATAATATTTCAGAAAGCTTTATTTATGAACAAATATCTTAAATAAATTTACTTTTATATCAGGATAATATTTCCCTTGATATTTAGTTTCAGATTAACAAAATTTTTGCCAGATGGATGAACAGAGGAAAAAGACACGGGTTGTAAATGCTTTTGTGAAACGTAAAAAAAAATTATTTTCTGTAACCAAATTCCTGTATAAATCAAAGATAAATCAAAACCACCGTGTAAACTAGTTTTAAATTGAAAAATAAACATTTTCCTCTCGTTCCTGTTGTACTTATTTTAAATCTAGAAACTATAAAGTAGGACAAAAAATGTTTTCTTAGTGATTAATTTTTAATGGTGACAAACAGTTTGTTAAATTCTTTGAATCAGGTTATTCTTTAAAACTACAAAACAAATTCTGTAAAATAAATTAAAAAAAAGTTTGGATCGTTTAATTGATGATGCATAGTTAATCTAAACTGTAAATTTGTTATTGTCTTGTAATAATATATGCCTATAAATTATGAAATAAATGCCTATTTAAAAATACTATTTACATCAAATCAACACCCTATTAAAATATTATTAATGTTTAAAAACCTTAATTTTTTTACCAAATGGAAAAGTATAAAATACCCAGGTAACACTGCGGTTCGACCTTTAAAAGTTGTTGAATTGGGTGGAAGGGCGGCTTCACGAGTAATCTCAATCTGTGTTGATCAATACAGTGAATACATCCCAATCTACTAACAAGATTAGATCAGTATATTATAATGTTGAGTTCTTTGTCATCTGCAATTTTGCAACTTCCCAAGTAAAAAATTTTAAATTTTTTATTTTTATTTTTTATTTTAACTCATTCAAAACTACCAAAGAAATTGTTTTGCCAAATACAAATTAGAGTTTATTATCGGGATAACAAAATTTAAATACTAACTTCATAACCTTGAGGAACATGTTATATGAAACAATTTAATTTTAAAATGAGTAGCCTATATTTTGATTACAAAATTATTACATTTCAATTACACACTGATTACATTTTAATGACAAATGAGATTTTATAGTAATGCCTGAGGATTTTAGTGGAATGATTCACTTATCAGCAAATGACACAACACATTGCCCCAGCTATCACAGACTAGCTACGTCACGACCTTGACTCACTAGCCTTGGTTATTTACAAGTTGATTAACTTTCAAATACATTCAGCTATAGCCTACATATTTTTTCATATCTATCCATCTTAAACTTTTTACATAATTGTTTTGCTCTGAGAAGCCTTCATGTTATTCATTTTTTGTAATGAAAATGATATACCAAGTTAGGACAAATGGATGACAAATTTGTTTGATACTCTTGTGCCATAAGATGTTTTGTCAAATATTTTTTGACTTGTAATGGAAACATTATTATATTGTTTAGTACTTTCTTCATTGCCGACTAAAATATTCCAACAGAAATTCATTTTAACAGTATTAGAAGTGCAAACTCTTCACCCCAAAATATGGTTTGAATAATACATAAATAAACACTTGTTATGTTTATTGCATACTTATTTGCCAAGGGCCTATCAAATCTAAGAAAAATTATAAAATTGATTCTGATTTTCCAAAATTGAATTATTTTTCATTGCTTTTTTATTTTTTACTACTCCTACAATTTTGAATCTGCGATCAAAGCTTTTTAGATTGCCTACTTCAAATTGTATACTACCGGTACCTCATACGTAAGGATTCCAAACATTGTCAATCGGTGACTGTAAAATACCTACTTTAGTATGGTTTTCATTTCAAAGTAAAGTATTAAAGTAAACTGGTTTCGTGGTTAACACCTCATGATCAGGTTATTGCAGGGTTTAAGCTGTGGTAGCATTTTTAGCATTTTGCTATACACAACTTAAAAATGCTACATTGTTTTTTCAGGCTATAGCAAATTTGCCACAAATAAAATTGAAAATGTAATGTTCAAACATGTAATATTACTGGAATTTTTTTTCATGCTTGAATAATTATATTTTTGCTACATTTGTCTGAGAGTTTGTAGCATTTTTGCTAAAACAATTTTCATCCTCCAGCCTATTCCCTGGGTTATTGTAATCCAAAAATCTCTCTTTCTCTCTTAACCAAGATTTACCAAATGAAAAATACTTGACCCAAATGAACAGGAAACGCTCATTATAATTCAATTCATGGTGGTGGTAGATTTATCAAAGTTTATTTGACAATTATATTTCCTATACATTTTTTACTGTTGACTATTTATAACCATACACATTGTGGACATGTAGAGCTCAGGTGAGCCTATCAAGGCGCGCCGGTTGGAGTTTGAGCTGCGTCCGATGGCACTGGAGGAGTTATCATCATCGCTACAGCTGGCACAGAAGGCTGTGGACCAGTGGCGTGCCGGTGACGACCGCTACAGCCATATCTCCGAGCAGGACATGAATAAGGTAGCAGCCGCTGTGGAAACTTCCGGCAAGTGGCTTCAGGATCGGCGCACACAACTGGCGCAGTGTCCACGACCGACCAACCCTCCTGTCACCGTCAACGAGATACGCCAGGAGAAGAATGTGAGTATAAATGTGGCTGGCTTAGATAGCTTGAGGTGGAGTTTGAATTTTAGTGTTTGAGCAATAAACAAAAAAAGCTGTAAGTTGTGACTGTTATCTCAGCTAACAGATTTGTACAATTAGCACTACACTGATGTCTACTTTTTCTTCTTACCCCCTAAACAGAAATGGGACTAAATATAATACCGTTTACTGGATCCTTTTATCTCCAAAAGTATTTTTAGTGTTGTTACTAACATATTTGTTCAAATTTCAACCGATAAAGTCAGTCAATTTACATTGGATGGGTACAAATTGTTTTTCTTACAATAACTTAAAATTTTAAAAACAGTATCTTGTTACATGGGGTGTATTGTGTGAAGTGTGACAAATGGGATTTTCTCATAGAGCTATTGTCCTGATTTACCTCTCCGGTCAGGTTGCCTCAACTTAACCTGAAACAGGGTATTTGTTAGGGTGTGGGGTTTATACATTTTACTAGTGCAACAATGTCTTTTCAACCATGGACGAGTGATTAATGTTGTTGTTTCTCCTAGGAAAGCGTTGTAGAATAAACAGACATAAGGATGGATTGGATTCAGATCCATTTAAAATTTGTTGTAATTAGTAAATTATAGTTATTAATGAAAACCACTAACATTGATTGATTGCCTTTGCAGAACTTTGAACAGAGTGTCACAAGTATTTTACAAAAGCCCAAGCCTAAGCCAGCACCTGCCCCCGCGCCTGAGGCCAACACAGCCCCGGCCGACAGCCAGAACCAGAACACAAGCAGCGGAGACGCCAAGAACGAACAGAATCAAGAAAATATGGATGTTGAATAATCCTGTCGCTTTTAAACTCTTTACTTATGTAACGCTAATTCCACTGACGGTTAAAAGTTGTGATACGAAAACTCGTAACTCATTTATCAGCTTATTTTTACTGTTTTTTTTTGTTTTCTAGTTAATTTTTTCTGTTAACCAAAGTAAATTATGCGATATACTTACATTGTTGTGTTTTATTTGACATCAGTTTCTTGCGGGTCATTTTTTACAACTAATTTTGGTAGTTATTTTTTTAGGCGATAGTTTTAAATTGTCTAATGTACTTAGGAGGAAAGTGGTTTACTCACCTTACACGATGTAAAGAATCAGTTTGATAAAGATTATTTATTTTCATTAGAAATGTCAACCGTGAATTATTTGCATTTAATTTAAATGATTTTATATACCCACCCGGTCTTTTATTTACTGCCTGTTTTATTTGTTGTAAATAATTTCAGATTCAGTGTCTTAATGTTCCTAATTGTGGAAGTTTCATTGGTTAGATTAAGGTGCATTGTTTACTCTGTTGTGTTGTTCAATGTAATCTCCTTTTGTTAGTGTTAATCAATTACATTTGTTTCTTTTTTTAGTTGGTCCCATAGTTTGGTACTCTGAATCAACTGTGATATACAGAGTGTTGAAAAGTTGAAAGTGCACAACAGTATTAGACACATTGAAGATATGGTTTATCAGCTTTCAGGATGTTTTTGAACAATACTATTCATGACACAATAATCTTAGTTAGACTCATTAAAAATATTTTTTTTTTTACATTTAGCAATCATCTTTTCTATTGTAATAAAGCTAATAAAGCCTGAGTAACACATGAGCAAGCACTTGTGTACCTTGTGCGTGTACGGAGTTGAACCGCTGTTGTAAAATAAATATCTATTTCTTTGTTTAAACAGTGTTTGTAAATTTAACCCTTTATCAAAGATATTGGGAATTCAAGTATGCCTTTCAAGTATTAAGAGTAACAATCTTGAACTTTTAACCTTCTGCACTTAATTGCTTTTTGGGAAACCCACAATGAAAATTATTTTAGAGCAGAGATAAATAAAATGTCCTATGAAATTGTTGAAAAAAAAAAACAATTCCTTTTTCAAAATTATTTAAGCTTATTTTAAATGTGTTCAACTTTAAAAATGGAATTTAAGTCCTAGTAAGGTGCTGACCAAATAGTTGAATGAAAACATTGAAAACACTGAACATTATTTAGAAGAATTATTAATTCACTCTACTAGATAGTTGGAGTGGGATGAGTGATATGGCTGCTTGTTTAAAAAATCTTTCCTTTTTGTTTATATCATTTACTGTAAAACATCTTGTGTTTGAGAGCTAATTTTTTTTAGAGAAATGGGTTGTATTTAAGCAAAGTTTTTGACTGATGAAGCACATTACCATTTTATGGCAAATCAGCAGATCTGTCGTCATTGGATGACTGAAAATCCAAAAATTATTGTTGCAATGATTTCCCTTGAAGAGGTGGATATGGTGAACTTCATTAAAGCTGGGTGTATACTAAAGCGCAGGTGACACAACGCATGCAAGCCAAGACTTACACTTCACAGTCTCCAAGATCAGTGATGGTACCAACCCCTCTATGTCCGACATGGAACAGTTTTCTGTCGTTTGTGCTTTGCAATGCAAGCAAAGTGTCGCCTCCTTCTCAGCATATGCCTGGCCTAAGCGTCATGGATAGATTTAGGAGAACGATTGTAATAAAGAACTGTGAATTCCACGAGTGAAAAGCTAAGTTAAATGTCCATGACTGACTCTGTTAAAGATTTAAGAGAAATCTAGGTAGATCACATAATCTTTCCCAAAGATAACTGGTCTTCAAGGCGTGAAACCATGCCAGGACAACAAAACAATATTACGTTAACATAATATTTTTTATTGAAATATTAACAGCTAATATTATGATATAAAATTTAATCAAAACCTATCTATAAACTGGTTTACAACCATTTACCATAGACTAGCATTTACTTACCTTCCATTCCATAAAAATACTAGGTATGTAATTTTCTAATTTTAAGTGTAGGCCTACAAAAGTTTTTCGAATTGTGTCCATAATAATGTTAAGGTTTCAATTTAATTTTATGTGCATATAGACCAAAGCTTACATTTAAAATTTGGGCCGTAATTTTTTCTCTTTCCTAGTGGGCCGTACCCCTGAAGAGGTAGTGTATCACTGAATCATGTGCTGAAATGTTAATGCTCAGTAACTGTGTACCAAGTTTTAAAGCTCTATATTTATAACTTTTTGAAATATTTAACCGTCTCGGGACTTTTCTTTCCACCCTATAGGAGCAATATAGAAACTGAGCAAAGTCTTTGCAGGGTGTTCACATTCTGGAAAGTCGGGGGAAAAAATCCTGTAATTAAAAGTCAAGGAAAAAGGTCATGGAAATACCTAATTATGGGTGGATTTGAGGGAACTTTTCAATGCTCTAGTCGGCCGTAGCCCCAACTATTCTAGCATTTTTCACAAATATAAGACAAAATCAATTTATTACATAGTTGTATGAGTTTTTAATTAAAAATTAAAGTGGAGAGAGAACTTGGCCAGCTGTGGGGACGGAGGAGGATGGGGTTTATTTTTTCCTACATTATTTTGAATGCCATATTTTTAGCAAAATGTATTACTCCGTTATCTGTTCCACCATGACATATTTCATTATATTCTGTGAAATAACTTTTATGTGCAGTATTATTCGTGTGTGTGTGTATGTATACTATAATTTTCGAGTAAAGTTTGAGTCATGGGAATCAATGGTGAATGGTCATGGAAATAAATGACAAATTTTCTGTGGACGCCCTGCTTTGTGCTAAAGGGGTCTCTAGATACCCTGCATAGGAGACCCATGCATTTGTGACCTCTACGACAATTTTCATCAACATTAAAGGTCGGGTGAGGATGAGAGAACCATCCCTAAGTCATGAATGCTTGTGACTCCAAGTACACAAGAATTCATGGCAAGAAAAGAACCAAGCCAAGTAAAAAGTTTCATTTTTTGAATGCACGTGTACTTTTGAGTTTTATGACAAGGCCCATTCCAGTCAACGGCTGCTTTCATCAAGGTAAGGTAAGGTATCAAGGTAAAGTAAGGTATCAGCATTGACTATTGTATCAGGTAGCTGGCCTGAGACGGTAGCAAGATACATAGATCATCTCACTTAATTCTACTTCCATCCTTTACTCGTATTTGGGTTAAAAACGCACACAATTTAAAACCCAATCTCAATTGATAACAACAATAATAATAAAATATACTGTAATGTGTTAGCTTGCTCGATGTGGGAAAGCCATCTTCATCTTCTTTTTTATACTTTTCATAAAGTTTGTGAGCATGTAAATGAGAAGAGGTAGCTATGATGAAATAGTATATTACGTTACTAGTCCTGAAAATAAATGTTTACCGGACGAGTGTGGTCGTTCCCGTGCGAGACGAAGTCGAGTACGGGATTGCCATACGAGTCCGGTACACACATTTTGGACGAGTTACGTACGATAGTTTACGCCATACTACTTAATTCGTACAAATCCTTATATATTCCCACCAACTAAAGGACTAAACATCACCAGTCATAACCTAAGAGAGGTTATGTTTTTGTATATCAACAATCATTGCCACGCAAATACAGTATAATCAGCTGATTGGTGTCCGGTAAAACTCATTGCAGAACAGTATTACGCAATGAAACCCCATTTGATTAAGCTGGCGGCAAACAGCTGTTTTCTGGACTAAATCCTTGCGTGGGAAGTTCGTCAAAATAATGTGGTGTGGCGTAAAAGGTTTTATTTTATGTGGCAAACCAATCATTTGTTTATAACTGCTTTACCATAGATAAAACATACGTTAGTCTATGCTTATACCATAGACTAACCAACACTTATGTTTTATCTATGCTTATACGCATACGTTCCATACTTCGGTTGTCTTTGTACAATGTGCATCCTCATTCTAAATCCTTTGATCCTTCATTTTGTCATTCTCTCTCTTTTCTGTCTCTGCCTCGCATCATCTCGTAGCAACTCGTAATCGCCGAGATGAGAGGTAAACCACCACACCACTCGTAGAAAAGGAATGTAGAGAAAAGAAAAGGCGATTAACAAAGGAACGCTAGCCCTAAGAAAGAAATAAGAAGTGGCAGTGCAGTGGCCTGGCCTGAGCCAAAACAACAGTAAAGAAAACTACGAAACGGAATGGTCGGTCCTCGGTAGGGGCATAGATAAAACAGTCTATGGTAACTTAGGGGTTTCTGTGATGTGTATTTATTTATTTAGTGTATCCAAGATCTAGTTTGAGTTTACTGTCCAGTTTGTCATGTTCATGGAATCAGTGGTGATTTGTGTTTGCATACTGTTATCGCAGTGATAGGCGTAGTAAATAAAAAGAATGTGAGCATTACGAGGGTTTAATAGAAAAAGAACGTGTCGGTATGTGGCTGGGAAGGTACCGATAACATTTTAATCATGTGGACTCTTTACCTTTTAGGGATTTTATGGCTATTGCATTTTACTCAAGGTAAGTTGATCCTTCTTTTTACCAAACAATTAGGATAGACCTCATTGACCATCTTTGGTTCTGACTTGAAGTCAACTTTGGTAAAAGGCTTGTGGGTTGAGGTTAGGTCTATGATGATCTCAGTCCCAAGCTGTAGCCTACCCTTGAGCATTCACGTTTTTTGAGTAGTGACAAACGACTGATTTCAACCATCCGATGTTTCATCTGATGGTTTTGCTTTCATCCGATAGTGTTCAGATGGATGATTCACTGATGGTTTTGAGTGTGGTGGGGTGGGGAGCATCCGTGCTGCTTCCGGAGACAGATAAAACTATCCAACTAGAGAATGAATGGATAAACCATCAGTTTGCGTGCCTGACCAGATAGATAGTTTTGATATATTGGCGTTCCTATCCAGCGCCATGTTTCGGAGGATTTACCCGTGCATGAACGAATAGATAAATATAGGCCTCTATGTTTTGCATGATTAAAGAACTAACATGTAGGCTACTAACTTATTAGGAAATTACTTCCCTCTTCTATGTTTTATTCTTATAATAGCTAAAATAGGCTAACTTACATATATTTATTTATTTTTCATTCGTTTAAAATCATTTAGGCCTAACTTAAAATGAATAAGTTTAGGCGTAATTCATGTTTTCTTAAGGTTATTCACTATTTATGGAAATAATTGCCATTTTCCTAAGTCTTTTGGTAACCTAACTTATTTTTATTTTAATCTTTTGATATGTCTAAATTATGACCACTCGATATATTAGATATTTATTACTCACGTACCGGTAATAATTGTAGAAAGGTAACAAGCTGTTTGTACAAATTTTAAAAGTATTCATAATTTAAAACCACGTAATTAATAATAGGTTAACCTATCTAATAAATAAAAGGTTAAAATACCTGATTGTCGCCTTGTGGTCCAAAGTCCCTAATAATATCTGCCCGAATGCATTGAAGTTACAGTACTGTTGTTCTGAGCATGAGCAGATGATTGGATGATTCACCTGATAATGTATGAATAAATAACCCATTTAATACTCCTGTGTAAGTAGAATAGTAAGTTAAACAAATTAACTCATCGGGCAAATAACAAATATTCATTTCACCATTATAAAGAACAGTTTAAGTTTTCAAATAACTAATTCGTAAGTAGTTTAAACTAATGAAAACGTGACACAGATAGTTTTACGATTGAATGAAAACATGGAACGGGTGGTTTACCAGACTGATGAGTTAGCTGATTCGGCTGATTCACCTGTGATAGAATGGATGGTTCATCCGGATGAAAACTAAAGTAACCATCGGATGAATCGGTTGGCGCGCAACAACCGGGTGAATCGTCTGTTTCTATCGGATAGTTCCCATCACTATTTTTGAGCAATCTTTTTTGCTTCGAGGTTAACTAAGCTTTCCTTGGCTTAACTTTCAGGTCTCAGGCCCTTAAGTTAGCCTAAGTTATAGGCTATTTTTAAAGTTGTTGACCGAGTAAGATTCAGGACCTTGTCCTCTAGACCTACTTAACTTACAGCATTTAACCGAAACTGCTTAGTCCTACGCTACTTACTTCAAATTTAACTGCTTTCTACTGTTTTTCTTCAGGAACAGTTAATCTTGCTTTTATTCCCTGATATTTACGCAAACTAAAACTCGCACACTTAGGGAAATCTACTTGATAATAAATTAACTTGGCTCAGGCTAATGTTCATTAAACATGGACTAGCCTTTATACCATCGACCGGGTAGCCGGTAGACTGTTATCAAAAACACTGTTATCTGATATCAAAAACAACCGAATGATAATATCGATCGATATTTTTTATTGGATTATTTCATTTGATATTAAGTTACGGTATTTGGTTAACGGTAGTTAGGTTAACCTAACTAACTAATCGACACATCGAATGAAATAAATTGAAAACTTATATCGAATAATCGATTAATCGATCAATAATTTAATTAAGTTGATTTTGACAACAGATGTAAAAAGTCTACTCCAAAACACTCTAAGGTACGAGCCTACCATCTGAACTGTCTCAAACGCATTAGGCATCTAGCTCTTATGGCGTAACTCCATGTTTGCGCTCTCAAAAGACGCTAGGTAGGCTATATCTCTTTTCACAGTTGCTTGATTTTAAATTAATTTATTTTAATTAGTAGCCTACTTAATCTGCATCAGACTGCAGAGATTATGGTAGGCCTACCTGTAAGTTAGATTAATTTTTTTTTTTTTTTTTTAAATAAAAGAGGTTGGAGGTTGGGTTGCCTTTTAACCTTGCATTTGCCCGTCCACATAGACTAAGCGCCCGTGCGTGGATCGTTAACAGCAAAGCAAGGAGTGAGCCGGTACAGTACAAAGGTGAACTGTACTGATAAAATGTTATCGGCAGTGACCAGGATCCGAACCCACGACATCGCTGCCTTGGGCCCGAAGTCCGCGACGCTACCGACTGAGCCACCGACTCACTAAGCTAACCGAGTGTGGATTGGGCGTCTTTAATTAATTTTATGCAGCAGGCTTATTATTTGGTCCTATGCATATTGAAGTGTTGTTGTGGTCAATGGCCTAGTGGTTACCTGTACTGAAAAAAAATTTAAATTTAAAATTCTTATGTTCTTATGTACAATGAGTAATCTTACTAATATTATAAATAATGTGAATATGGGACCGTATAGATTTTACCTATGGTATAGCAAAAATGTTTCGGCTGTAGGCCTAGATTATATTTGCTACTGAAATTTACTAAACATGGTTTGTTGCTGCCACTTTTGACTGGCTGTTAAACAAATTTTAAATTATTGTTGTGGCAATTGAATTAGTCTGACCCAATGGTAATCAGTAATCGAGTTATAAATTGAACAGATATCTAGTTTCTATTCTTCTACAAAACAAATTCCCTTAATGATAAACATTAGAGTAAGTAGGCCTATGGTGGTTTTTATACTACACATAGCCTACCAATATTTGTATACTTCCTTGCCATTACGGATGTTAAATGCAATATGAAGTAATTTTCTCGCTGGATGACTTTCTTAACCTCCCTCTTAAATAAACCAATATGAATGTAGGCCTATCATTAGAATAACAATTGTTTGTTGACACTATTTAATTTTTCTACCGTACTTACACTTGGATGAATATTGTCTATTGTCTATGTTGAGTAGGTCTAGTTGTATTCTATCACAGAGAAGTAAAATATAGAGGATATGAGCTTATGGGACAACCGTGCGCTTGTAGCTTTGGTATGGTGGTTTGAAAATGTACTTGTATCAAGCAAGGAAGAGCCTGATCATGACGATGACCATATGTACAGTCCCGGCCACGTAAAGAGAGAAAATGTCCAGGTAGACCCGGTCAGGCCTAATCCGCTGTTGTCAAAACATAGCTATTGTTTTGAAACCGAGGGGGCGCGCTACCCCATCCCAGCGGTCATTGCTACTGCCTCCCTTTAATTCTTAGAAATAACTCGGGCCAGTACAAATTCTATAAATCGAACGGGTGATCGCCTATAATTAAGTGACAGGTCATTTTATTCACAAAGTGAAGACGAATATCACAAAATTTGAATCGCAATTCTACGTCACTTCGTTGATTGGCTAGTCGATGTTGAGAAGCAGCAGGCAATGACCGCTGAGGTAGCAATGACCGCTGGGATGGGGTAGCGAGCCCCCTCGGTTTCAAAACAATAGCTATGTTTTGACAACGGCGGATTAGGCCTGACCGGGTCTACCTGGACATTTTCTCTCTTTACGTGGCCGGGACTGTATATTTGTATAGCAGTTATAGCGCACAGGGTTTTCCTACCGCGTGAGCACTGTAGTACGTCCCTACATACCCTTATATAGGGCTCCTTTTCATCCTTTGCAAGGGGTAAAGGAGAGCAGAAGGGGATGACTAATAGAAATCTAGACTAGACACCAGCGACAGACACCACTATCTAACTTCTCTGTGATTCTATTGTCTTTACTGTAGGTTTCGGTAAGATCTGGACTCAGGATCGATATACTTTTTTTAGTGAGCGTCTTTTGGCATGATAAATCGAGTAAAAGTTATCCAATTTTGATGAAATTCTTACAAACACGCAAACGTGCATTAAGTTACTTGAGCGAGTTTGCAAAAACAGTTTTTAATTTAACAATGGGGTAAAAATTGGTTTTTTCTAATTTTTTTACTCTCAGAACATTCATTTTCAGAATTTCTTTTTAACATTGTGTTACAGCTTAAAAAATAAATTATTTGGTCCTATGCATATTGAAGTGTTGTTGTGGTCAATGGCCTAGTGGTTACCTGTACTGAAAAAAAAATTAAATTTAAAATTCTTATGTTCTTATGGACAATGAGTAATCTTACTAATATTATAAATAATGTGAAAGTTTGTGTGTTTGTTTGTTTGAAGTTCAATCACGCATAAACCACTGGACGGATTGGGCTGAAATTTTGCATGATGATAGCTCACATTCCCGATTAACATATAGGCATATTCTTATCCCAAAAATCCTTTCGGGCTCCGCCCCAGTGGCTCTGTAGTTCCCCATGTTAACCTTATAAGTATTCATATTAAAGGGAATTAAAGAATTTAGTCATCTGATTCAACTAAAAAGTTATTTCTATGATATACATTAAAAAGTTATCAGATTTACCAACAGGGTGCAGCACTATTATTATTTTTTTATTTATGTAAACAGCTAATTTGAACTAAGCAGCAGCAACAAAAAACTGTGATACGTGTAGATATAAAGTCAACGGTGATACGCAATGAGAACTGTCAAAGTGGGATTGTTTACAGTTATGTTTATGTTTTTAATCTCATGAATAATTTGTGATTTTTTGTGAATTCGTAATAACTTATTTTTCTTTATTATTTAGGTTAAGTGGTAGAACATTATGGCTATGGTAGAAGTGTAATACCATTAGTATAGGTACCGTCAATTTAAAGAAGCAAATTTTATCAAACTTTGTCCTCCCCCAATTGCAAACGCAAAGCTTGAGTATAACTGCAATAAGCATT